TTTTTTTTTTTTTTTTTTTTGAGACAGAGTCTCACTCTTTTGCCCAGGCTGGAGTGCAGTGGTGCAATAATCTGGGTTCACTGCAATATCCGCCTCCCGGGTTCAAGTGATTCTCCTGCCTCAGCCTCCCGAGTGGCTGGGACTACAGGTGCGAGCCACAATGCCCAGCTAATTTTTTGTATTTTTTAAAGTAGAGACAGGGTTTCACCATGTTAGCCAGGATGGTCTCTAACCCCTGACCTCAGGTGATCCACCTGCCTTGGCCTCCTGAAGTGCTGGGATTATAGGTGTGAGCCACTGCGCCCAGCCTGAATGTCTACTTCTTTTGATGCTTAAAGGAGGACAGATAGTTTAGGTGACACTGTCATAACAAGGGGCTAGGCTAGATGACCTTCAAGTATTTTGCTCATTAAGATTTGTGCTCTAAAAGAGTTACCTTCTCCATTTCCCGGAAACTCTCTTAGCCCGGACCACAAACCCCAACATGATCGCACCTGAACATGAGTCATCGAAGTTTTGTTATCTAATAGCTACAGTACGCACAAAGCTTGCATTCCAAAGAGCTTTGATATATTTTTCTTTCACTCCTAACAGCCAAGAAAGCCACCGTGAATTTACTGGGTGAAGAAAAGAAGAGCACCTAAACCAGACTGGATGAAAACTTCCTGCCCTCTCTGTATCTTCCTACTAGAGCCTGACGTTATATTAGGAACTGTGGTATAATTATTTTAATAATGTTGCCTTGGAAACATTTTCGATATATTAAAGATTGGAATGTGTTGTAAGTTTCTTTGCTTACTTCAACTGTCTATATACATAGGGAGTATTTTAAACTTAATGCAGTGGGCAGTGTGCAAGTTTTTGGAAAATGTATTTTGCCTCTGGGTAGGAAAAATGTATGTTACTATCCTGCAGGAAATATAAACTTAAAATAAAATTATACACCCCATAGGCTGTGTACTTTACTGGGCTCTCCCTGCATGCATTTTCTCTGCAATTACACTTAGAATAATCTTTATGGTTCTACTCCATGTAATGCACAATTTTATATAATTCTGAAATGTTTTTAAAGTATTTGTGCACATGTACATACAGAAATGTTACTGTCTGACTACAACATGCATCATGCTCATGAGGAGGGAGCAGGGGAAGGGTGTATATGCCATTTATAACTTCTGTACAGTAAGACCACCTGCCAAAAGCTGGAGAAACCATTATGCTGGTGTGGTCTACTAAATTTAGAAAATTAATATGTGATTAAGATGCAAATGAACAAAGTGAAAAATGAAATCTAATGGAGATTGGCTTGGTTGTTTCCCTAGTATGTGGCACATGAATACCAGGATAGCTTTATAAAATAGTCACTATAGTGATGAACAGGGAAATTTACACAAACATCAGTAATCTGTAACTCTCAATTCCCTGTAGAACTAGTAATACTGTCTTATCTGCTTATAAACTTTACATTTTTGCCTATTGTTAAGATGCTAAAATGGAAACCATTTCTGGTTTTATCTTCAAAGTAGAGAAACATGTTGATTTAGTCTTCTTTCCCAATCTTCTTTTTTAAACCAGTTTAAGGAAATTCTGAAGACTTGCCTACCTCTAATTACATGTATTTTTTTGTTTATATCATTAGCAACAACATGCTAATGATGACACCTAGCTCTGAGAGCAATTCTGGGAGAATGAAAGGAAGCATAAGATAACCCATAATCTGCTTGGCAGTAGTTCAGTCAATCTACCTTCAGTTTTCCTATGGCCTTAAAGGTCAAACACAAGAGGCTTCCCTAGTTTACAAGTCAGAGTCACTTATAGTCCATTTAAAGTCCTTCATCTATATTCTTTGTGTTGATAAACTGCACATGGCTACATAGTAAGTATTGTAACAATAAAGTTAAAATGGATGCCTCCATTGATCTGCCGAATCATTACAGAGAGCAATTTATCTGGACTAGAAAATCTGAGTTTTACACTATACTGTTCAGAGTCCTTTTGGGCCGGGCGCGGTGGCTCACGCCTGTAATCCCAGTACTTTGGGAGGCCGAGGCAGGTGGATCACAAGGTCAACAGATCGAGACCATCCTGGTCAACGTGGTGAAACCCCGTCTCTACTAAAAATACAAAAAAAAAAATCAGCTGGGCCTGGTGGCGCGTGCCTGTAATCCCAGTTACTCAGGAGGCTGAGGCAGGAGAATTGCCTGAGCCCAGGACGCGGAGGTTGCGGTGAGCCGAGATCGCGCCATTGCACTCCAACCTGGGTAACAAGAGTGAAGCTCCCTCTCAAAAAAAAAAAAAAAGAGTCCTTTTGAATTAAAGTAGACTAAAACAAGTGCATAACCGAAATAACAAGATTAAATATCCAGCCAGTAAAGTATTTTTTAAGGCAAATAAAGATGATTAGCTTGTCTTGAGATAACAATCAGGTAAGATCATAACGATGTCTCATGATGTAAAAAATACTAAAGATGTCAGTACTACGGGACAGTATCACTCTAATAATATGGATCAGAGCATTTATTTTGGGGAGGAAAATGGTGATTATTGGCATTTTATTAAACCTAAAAAAAGCTTTGTAGAAAGCAAACAAAATTGTTCTTGGAAGAAAATCAAGTTTTAGATTAAAAAAAAAAATTTTTTTTAAGTATCTAAGAGTTTTTAAATCCTTCTCCCATAAATAAAAGTACAATTTTCTTGGTGGCAGAATGAAAATTAGCAACTTCTAGCACATAGTATATATAATCAGATTGTTAGCATATAGAATATATTATCAGACAAGATGAGGAGGTATAGGTTACTATTGCTCATAATGACTTACAAGCTAAAATTAGTTTATATTAAAATAAATTCTGAATGCAATTTTTTTTTGTTTCCTTGAGACCAAAATTTAAGTTAATTGTTGTTGGCAGTCTAAGTGTAAATGTTAATAGCAGAAGTTATGAATTAAGCAGTTCTGTCACCCGATTTCCCAAATGAAATACTGCTATGGCTAGAGTTTGAAAAAACTAATTGAGCCTGTGTCTGGCTAGAAAACAAGCATTTATTTGAATGTGAATACTGTTTCAAAGGTATATAGTTACAGAATTCCTACTAAACAGCTTAAATTCAAGAAAGAATTCCTACAGCAGTTATTCCCTTACCTGAAGACTTCAATTTGGATCAACAACTGCTACTCTGGGGAAAGAGTCTTCTACCCACAGCTGAAGAAAACGAGCACACCCTTCACATAAGTTATCACCTATCCTGGAGATGTGATACACTGAATGGAAATAGATGTAAATAAAATTCAGTTCTCATTTAACTGCAATATTTCATTTTATTTTGTGGGACTTTTTTCCTAACCCAGAATTATTTAAGCAAAGTTTTAAGTAAATACAGATAAATGAGCCATAAACACTGCTGTTTATTAACTCTATTCCTCACATGGCTTGTAGTTTTCCCCTGGTGGTTCCTGTCTACCAGAGGAAAAGACTTGCCCTAAAGAAAACATATCAACTAAAAAAGTTTCTACCAATAATTATCACTACATTGAAAGGAAACTTAATCCACTGCTTTTTACCTGCATATTGCATTACACACGAAGTCTCCTATGAATTAAGACAATGCAATGCATGCATCTTGATGTAGTAAACTTTTTACATGTGCCTCCAAATTATGCTGTACTTTGTTTTCAGAAAAGATCAAGAAAAGGACTTGAGAATTTTGATAAAAATACCTATTTCTGGCCTAACGGATCTGTAATCCCAGCACTTTGGGAAGCCACGGTGGGTGGAATGCTTGAGTACATGAGTTCAAGACTAGCCTGGGCCACATGGTGAGACCCCCATCTCTACAAAAAATACAAAAAAAGCTGGGCATGGTGGAGCATGCCTGTAGTCCCCACTACTCAGGAGGGTGAGGTGGGAAGACTTGAGCCTGGGAGATCAAGGCTGCAGTGAGCCAGGATGGTGCTAGTGCACTCCAACCTGGGCAACAGGCCAGACCCCGTCTCAAAAAGAAAAAAAAATACAAAAACACACAAACCTACTTCTGAAGGTATGCGTTGGTCAGTACGGTCTTCTAGATCTGCTTTATGATGTCTGTATGTCTAGAATCATAGTGTTTAGAATAACACAGGTACAATTCAGATCTTTAGCCATCAAATATTATAGTTCTACATAGCATGGCTGAAGAGTAAACACATTTGAGAATGATATTAAAAATTTTCCTGGCTCATTGCTAGAACACTAACTCTTAAAATCTTACAACACACACAACTAAGGAGTTTCCTTGGTTAGATCAATGCTTCCCAAAACTTTGATGTAGGCCAGGCACAGTGGCTCACGTCTGTAATTCCAGCACTTTGGGAGGCTAAGGCAGGTGGATCACGTGAGGCCAGGAGTTCAAGACCAGCATGGCCAACATGGTGAAACCCCTTCTCTACTAAATATAAAAAAATCAGCAGGGCGCGGTGGCGCATTCCTGTAATCCCAGCTACTCGGGAAGCTGAGGCAGGGGAATTGTTTGAACTTGCAAGGCGGAGTTTGCAGTGAGCTAAGATCGCACCATTGCACTCCAGCCTGGGCAACAAGAGCAAAACTCCGTCTCAAAAAAAAAAATTTGGTGTGCATCAGAACTGATGGAAGACAGGTATGAAGAGGAGTGTTGTTAAAATAGATTGCTGGGCTCTATCCTCAAAGATTCTGATTCAGGAAGTCTGGGGTGGGGCAGACTGTTTTGCATTTTAAACAGCCCAGGCAATGTTGACTGTCCAGGAACTGCACTTTGAGATAAAACCGCTGGGTTAGGTAAATGCTATCTTTATATCTTAATACACAGAGGTTTTCAGACCTGGCTGCACATTGGAATCATCTGAGGACCTTTTCAAAAATACTGATATCTGCCTCTACTAACAAAAGCACTGATTTAATTAGTCTACTATGGTACCCAGGTGCCAGTATGCTTTAAAAATTCTTTAGGTGATCCTAGTATGGAGCCAGGTTGAGAACCACTTGTAGGGACTACTAATGAGGGCAAGAATCCCAAAGTCTGGAGAGTTCGTCTAAGAGAGTAGTTCACCGGGTGTATCAGTTCCTATTGCTCCTACAACAAATCACAGCTGCTTAAAAACCGGGCAAATGTATATCATCTTACTGTTCTGGAGGTCAGACGTCCAAAATGAGTTGGCTGGACTGAATTCCTGTGGAGACTCCAGGAGAGAACACACTTTCTTGCCTTTTGCATCTTTCAGACCCTGCCTGCATTCCTTAGCTTGTGGCTTCCATTCCTCCAACCTCTGCTTCTGACAGCACAGCTATCTCTAATGCTGATTTTCCTGCCTCCCTCTTCTAAGGATCCTTGTGAAATGGGGCCCACCTGGATAGATAACACAGGAGACTCTCTTCAAGATTCTTAATCACATCTGCGAAGCTCCTTTGCCAGGTAAGGTTAACATATTTACAGGTTTAGGGGATTAGGATTTGGACATCTTTGTGGAAGGCATTATTCTGCCTTCCAGGCCTGGCTTCTTTGGGTATACAGTCACATCCAACATCAGAAAATCACTGCAAAGGGCAATCTTAATGTTGGGAGGGAGCTAAAATAAGCGGGAGGGGTAAAAAACTACCCTATTCCTGCCCAAGGACTAGTTTATCCTCTGGATTTTAAGAGACTGGAGTGGGAGACACAGGCAGAGTTGAGAGGTAACTGTATTAAAAACAGGATGGGATGACTAAATGCTGAGACAAATTTCCTCCACCTTGAATTCTCCCACTAGGATCCCAGAACCCTGACAAGCTGACTTTATCCACTTGGAATATGTTAAGGCTCCTCTCTGAAGAAGCTGACCACCTCTGATGTCAGCGTACCAAAGGTTTCCCAGCCAGATTTCCTTTAATGAAGTTCACAGGGTGCACACCTTTTTTATGTGCTTAGAACTTTTTTTTTTTTTTTGAGATGGAGTCTCTGTCACAGAGGCTGGAGTGCAGTGTTATGATCACAGCTCACTGTAGTCTCAAATTCCTGGGCTCCAGCAAGCCTCCTACCGCAGCCTCCCAAGTAGATGGGACTACAAGCACATACCACCACATCTGGCTAATTTTTTAATTTTTATTTTTGTATACATGGAGTCTTCCTTTGTTGGCCAGGCTGGTCTTGAACTCCTGGGCTCAAGTGATCCTCCTGCCTTGGTCTTCCAAAGTGCTGGGATTACAGGCATGAGCCACCATATCCAGCCACTCTGAACTTTTGTGGTTTTTTGTTTTTTGAGACAGGGACTTATTCTGTCCAGGCTGGAGTACAGTTGCGTTATCACAAC